AAAACCCAAGCAACTTCACAAATACAACCTCAAGAAAAAAGAAACATCATAAATACAAGTAACGCAACATGCACTACAAAGACAGGTCCACCCAATAAAGTTACACGCCCTAGCACAATTAAAAAACACATAACTCCTTCTTCACCGAAGCACACCATACGTTATCACAACCCACTCGTATTCAACCCAAACGCAAAAACCTATACAGCACTACTAGCTCACAAAATACTGTAATATCTCCATCAATAACCCAAGCAACCTCACAAATACAACTTCAAGAACAAAGAAACACCATAAACACAAGTAACGCAACATGTACTACAAAGACAGGTCCATCCAATAAAGTTACACGCCCTAGCACAGTTAAAAAACACATAACTCCTTCTTCACAGAAACACGCCACATTTTCACAACCCACTCGTATTCAACCGCAACGCAAAAACCTTAACAGAACTACAGGCTCACAACATACTAAAATATCTCCACCAAAAACCCAAGCAACCTCACAAATACGACCTCAGGAACAAAGAAACACCATAAATACAATTAAAAAACACAAAACTCCTTCTTCACAGAAGCACATCACGTTATCACAACCCACTCGTATTCAACCCAAACGCAAAGCCAAAGAAACACTTACACAATAAACTCCATTTAATAAAATTACAGGAATTATTATAATGATTTTTTTTTTTGTTTTGTTTTCCTCTTTCCTGATAGCGTTGGCTATTGTGCCCATCAATAGGTATGTTGGTAAGTACGAATTACATTATCCCTAGATGTCCAATGTACGTGTGTGAGGACCCTACATAACTTCACCAGACACAGACACAGACACTAATCGTTACTTGATTTTAATCCGTGCGATTAGTTAACCAGGCTAGACCTGAGTTCTCACAAGAAACACCGACCATAATAATAATATTTAATTGTGAGAAGGTGAATTACACTTACACTCGTCAAAAGAAACGGGAAATTACATTAAACATTAAAAATAATAGTATATAACAAACAATATAACAAACAAACTAAAAACAGACAGGTAAAAACAGTAAAATCGCAATAAAAACGCTAACTAATTACATAATCTACCACTAGCCACAAACTCGTTAAAAGAATAAAATGCGTTACATAGAAGAAAATTTTTTATGCGTCTCTTAAATATGGGGTAGTCTAAAATCCTTATATCTAAGGGAAGGCAGTTGTATAAATGTTTGCATTGGTACTGTACCCCTTCTTGTGATTTTGAGAGTCTGCATAGATCAGTACGGATATTGTTTTTTTTTCTTGTGTGATCAGTATGTACGTCAATTTGTTGTGTGTAAAGAGATATATTTCGTTTAGCATAGCACAGGGCTTCAAGAATATAAATACAAGGAAGTGTTAAGATTCTGAGATCGATAAATGCTTGACGACAATCGTCTCTATAACCTAAAGATGCCAGAACACGAACAGCTCTACGTTGTAGTTTGAACAAGCATTGCCAATGAGAACTGTGTCCCCAAGCGAGGATGGCATATGAGAGAGAACTATGCACAAAACCAAAATATGCTGCTTTAATGGTATTTAAAGATGTGCAGTTGCGCAACCGAGTAAGTAAAAATATCGACGTGTTCAATTTTTTGGACAAATTATCGCAGTGATATTTGAAGTCTAATTTGCTGTCAATCACACAACCCAGAAATGTGAAATGAGCACCATTAGAGACGATATTATCTTTTCTTAAAGATAAAGGCAAGATAGTAGTCTTAGCAGGATTTAGTTTCAAAGTATTATCAGTGCACCATCTAGAAATAAGTTTGATGCCGTCTTGAATGTTGGCATAAGCCGAATCATAACACATACTACTCGATATTAGTGTAGCGTCATCTGCGTACAAAATACATTGCGTCTGCGGTGGCAAATGGGACGGTAGATCATTAACATAAATCAAAAACAGCAAGGGTCCAAGGATAGAGCCTTGCGGTACGCCGTATTTGATGTGTAATTTGTTAGATACTGCGTTGTTAAAGAGGACACATTGATACCTATTAGACAAAAATGAACTATAAGAAACACGTGTATAATTGGTGTTTAAAACACTTGCAAAGTTTAAAGGCACTCCGCTACGCGTCGTGCCATTAACCTCTTTGCGCGTTCTTTAAAGACTTTATACACTTGTCTCTTAATATAGTTGAACTAAAAATGGTAGCGTTAGGATGTCCAAAAATAGTCAAATATCGAATGGTTTTTGAATGCTACCAATTTTTTCGCATAAACAGAGCGTGATGGGAGATGATGAGCATCAGGAAAAGCAATTTCATATCTCACAATTTGCATCGAAACAACCTCTAAAATAAGACTGGGGTTAGAACGCTCATTGTTCCTTCTGGCATTTCGCACAGGTGAACAAACCTTTTATCGTCTTTTGCCTAAACACTATACCTACCTAGATATTTTATTGTGTAAGTAGTCGATAATTGCAGA